TGGGGGGGGGGGGGGCAGAATTTTGGGTTTAAGATTAATTTTGTTCGAGCCTCATTACTTGAAAAAAAAAAAATTAAACTGCCGATCGATTTTTTTTTTTCCCCCTTGTTTCGTGCGTGTTTTCCCCATCACCACCCCCAAAATAAAAAAAAAGTGAAGGAGCTGGAGGCTTTTTATTCCTTAATAACATGCAGAAGTGCGTGTCAATAAGCAAAACAAAACGCTCTCTTCTTCCTTCATGGGTAATATTGCGGACAAATAAAACACGAGCCCCCATTTCTTTATGAAACCAGCCCGTTTTGAATCGAGGGCTAATTTGGGCAAATTCCTGATGCCGGAGCCCGCGGGGAGCCGCGTTACCTCCGAGCGCGCAGGCTCCGCTCCCTTTCCCATCTCTTGAGATAAATCCTAATTTATCAGGTTTGGGTTTGGGATTTTTTTTTTTTCCCTTTCCCTCAATCGCTTCCTGATTCCGTAGATTTGCGGAGAAATCACCCCAAAAAGCTTTTGATTTGGGGTTTTGGCGGGGGGAGCATCAACCGCAGAAACGGGGATTTGGGGGTTGGATCCGGCGCCGTCCGAGCGCTGCCGCGATCGCCACAAGCTCGAGTGCGATGAAAAAATAACCATTAAAAAAAAAAATAAATTAATACCGCTGTCAATGTATATTTTCATGTCTGGAAAAGTTTGAATGGCCCCAATTAAGGTAATTGATGATTCAACTTGTAAAACACTCAGAGGCGGGGAGTGTACGCTGTGTATTATTTTTTTTTTTCTCGAAAATAGTAATAATCTTTAAAGTTCTCCCCCCACCCACCCTACCAATTTTCCTGGGAGGTTTGCAATAAAATAAAAATCTACCGCGCTCCTGACACTTGTTCTCCAGCTTTTACTGCGTGTGGGGGTGTGTGTGTGAGGATTTTTTTTTTCTTTTTGAACGCGTTTTTATTATTATTGCGGATGAGAGGGGGGGGGGAAACTTTGTTTTGGCCTTTTTCCTCTTGACAAACGCCTTTGCTCCATTTGCGGGTTCTCCTTGCGGGGAGCCGGAGGAAGACAGCCCTAAATGCTCTCTCTTTTTAAGTGTTAAAGAAAGCTTCCACCCTGCGCCTGTTTCTTTCTATCGTCTGCTTGGCATTTAATAATGTTAAGACTTATTAGAGCTGGTAATGAAAACTGTGGCTGTTGAATAGGGAGCTGTGTTGGAGAAGGGTGTAATAGCTCCAAGGCATGCTAAGAAATGTATTTATCCCCAATCAGTACTCACTCTCTGAGTTCCCAGCACAAACGTTAAGTTGAAGGGTTTTAAGGCAGATTAAATTGAGCCTTTATTTCTTTGCACTTTCATCTTTAAACGGCTCACTCCAGCTAGCCCTGGGCATATATTCATGAGGCTTCACTTTATTTTTATTTTTTTATTTTTTTATCCTTGTTAAGACCGAGTTATTATTATTTTGGGTTGTTGTTATTTATTATGACTGGTGGGGTTTATTAGGGAGGGTCACGCGTGGGTGATGCGCTGGTCGCCCGCGCCCCGCAGATCCTCGGCGGGGATGGAGGCAGGGAGGGGGGAGTGGGGAGCATTTGGGCAACCCCAAATCTACGGGGGTGCTGGGGAAGGTGCTCAGTGTTTAATGCGGGAGGAGCAGGGGCGGGGGCGAGGCCTCATCCTGGCGGGGTATTAATTGCAACCAGACGCGGGGGGGATATGGGGAAGGCGATCTGCCGGCACTGGAGGAGAGGGAAATTCAGGGGCTCCCCCCCACCCGGCGTGACACCCCACGACCAGGGGTGGGGGCAGCTGGTCCTGCCCCTCGTACTGCTCCGGGATGCAGGGGAGGATGCTCAGGCCTGGGCGGTGCTCTCGGGGGGACAGACCGGGTTACACCTAGGGTGAAACCACGGATTTTTAGTTATTTTTATTTCCCCTCTGTTTTATTTCTCCGAACTCCGCTTGATTGCACGGAGTTTCTTTCCCCGCTCGATTTTTCTTTGATACCTACCTCCGTCCCGCGATAGCGTGGAAATACTTCGTGGGATGGGGAAACCCGAGTGTCAAAGCCGGGGATAGCAGAGGGGTTTATTTTTATTGGAGGTGGGAAACGCGTACAGGTGTGAACAGCGGGGGGGGTATTTGGGCACTTAGAGGTGATAACAATTTAATTTGGTAGCAGTCACTGCCGCTTATGGGGGGGGGAAGCGGTTTGGAGTGGATGTACAAGGTCCTGCCAAATTTAATTAGGCTCGGGGGAGGGAGGGGATAGGGAGAAAGAGAGAGGGGACACCCCCCCCCACACCTGGAAAGGGGCTTTGTTTCCCAAGTTGGGGGGGAGTGGGGGAGGAATGGAGTCAATTTATCAGCAAACAATCTGCATCGATTTAAAACCAACAAGCGCTTTCTCTGTAAATGTATGTTTAGAAGGGAGGGGAGGGGGGGGGAATAGACACTTCATCAAATCAAGGGATTACGAAAGGTTGGCAATCTAATCAAACAGAGACCAGGCGGGATTTGTGAGTGTTGCGAGTGGGATCAGCTCTAATAATGGGGGGCAGGAAAGAGATAGGGTAGTGTCAAGCAATTCATTGGCTTTAGGCTGAGTTATTCTGTGCATATTTCAGGGAGAGAGAAGAGGGAAAAGGAGAAGAGAGAAAAAAAAAAAAA